ATGGCTGGAGAGCGCAGGGAGCAGATGAACCTGGCTCTGCCCCAGCCAGGGGACATGCACCCCTCCCCTTGCTGTGCCTGCTGGAGCTGCAACAACCCTGAAGAGGCACTTCGCACCTGGCACCAAGCTGCTTCAGTGAGAGGGGGTTGGAGTTGTCCTCTCTTCCCTGGGGCAGATTAAACTACCAGGCTTAAAAGATCCCCAGAAGGTGGGGGAAAGATTGCTGGCCAGCCAAAAATAATCACATGAATAAAAGTAATCTGAGTCTAGCTCCAGCTCACTCACAGTTATTGGGCTTGAAGCACAAATGACTCCATGAAATTTTCTACCCTACATTATGAAAGAAGACAAAGTAAATGATCATAATGATTCCTTTTGGTGATGAGATCTATCAATTAGGAAATATTTTCACACATCTAAAGCTAAAAGGCTTCTGAATAGAACAAGCTCCTGCAACAGGGGTTTTCTTTGGGCCCATCAGGATGTGGAATAAATACCAAGAAAGCAGAACCTGCAAGTGTCATGGGCTACATCAACTAGGGATGTAAGAGTGTAACCGTGTAAATGGGTACCAAAACACCTATACAGCTACACCTGACTCCAGGTGGCTCCCCAGGAGCTGGACCGGCCACCCCACATTGCTGCCTCTACATCAGCAGAGGGTGGCAGGCAGGAGCCAGTGTGCACATAGTGTCAGATTAAAACCCGGCTCCCTGTGAGTACCGGCTCCCTGGGAGCCTCTTGCCAACCCACGCTGCTGCCTCTGTATCAGAGGCAGCAACTAGTTTTCGGGGAGCAGAGCAGCCTGCCACCCTGTGTGAATTTTTCAGCAGTTACACGGTTAATCAATTACACACATTTTAACATCCCTAACACCAGGCATGGCCCAATTCCACTGCAGCAAATGTTGTGGGAACTACATGGTCCCTAAGTGTCAATTATTTTCACCTGTCTCTAGAAGATCCATCATCAGGAACCCATAATAATCATAAGTGGATGGGGAAATGCATAGCTAGTTGAGAGAAAGCAGTTTCTCCAAAGGTGACCTTATTATCTGGAAGGGGATATGCAACCAAAGACAGAACCCATGTGCTTACTGAATGTGGGGATGACCATATCAAAGCTGCTGTTTTCATTATCAGTGACAACCTTGCAAGGGAAACTGGCCCTTAACTACAGTACTTAAAGTACATGATTTGGGAAACAACCAATATTAGAAGTTGGCACTTATGTGATTACTGTGTGCTCACAGTGCAGATGGTATCCAGAATTAGTTCCACTACATATCCTGAATTTGTTACTGGTAACAAACTCCCACTAGAAGAATCAACAGAGAATGAAAAGGAAATGAGAAAGTGATTTAGCAAGGCATTTAATTTCACACTGCCCTAATGAAGCAGTTTGGGGTGGGGAATACACATGGAAAAACAGCAAAGTGCTTTTGGAACCAGCAGCTCCTGGAGCGATACAAGACACCAGAGCATTTGGGAAGTCCAGGAACATGTGAGTTATGATGAACTATATGCTAGAGAGAAGAGGTTGGTATTATGGACTCCAGTAGACATGAGGAAAGCCTGCTGTGGCCCTACTCCACAACACTTATGTACAAATACCTTCAAATCTTTTATGGCTGTCATAATCCTCAGAGCAAGGCACCTCGATGAATCTGTCCCGCAGACTTTCACTGTAATGAGCCAGAACCTCAGTGACCCCATCTTCGCAGACCAAGTAGCTCCAGCTTAAAAGGCTAACAAGGACAGCAGAGGAGACTAGGAATGCGACTTTCAGCGACTTCTTCTGTGATTCTTGGTGGGCTCTGTTTCTCCTCACACTAAGAACAGAACACAGATATATTCCTGCATAAACAAGTAACAATCCTACACACCATGCTGCTCTGCTGTGATTAGGAATCACCTTGGGAACTAGCCCATTTGGCTGGATGAACATTCCTAGCTCTGTATCAATGAAAAAGGCTGCAAATTCTTAACTTAATTAAAAGCGGTGAGGAGTCCTGTGGCACCTTATAGACTAACCGAAGTGTTGAAGCATAAGCTTTCGTGGGCAAAGACCCACTTCATCAGATGCATGCATCTGACAAAGTGGGTCTTTGCCCACGAAAGCTTATGCTCCAACACTTCGGTTAGTCTATAAGGTGTCACAGACTCCTCGCCACTTTTGCTGATTCAGACTAACACGGCTACCCCTGTGATAATTAACTTAATTAAGTACATGTTACTTAAGTCTGGACTCACACCAGACTTGAAAGGATTATTAATTTTTCTTTATTATTTTAAATCTATTCCTGATTTTTTAAAATGAAATGAAATGAAACAGGTGCATTATTTGCTCTCATTCCTTTGCAAAACTGCTCAGCATGCACAAAGCTTTTTCATCACAGCCACCAGGAGGCCCTGTTGAAACAAAGAACCAAACTAGAAAATCTCAGCTGTAAGATACTTTATGGTTCTGATTGTTTTTATAATCCTCTCCGCACTCCAATAGTTTGGATTCCAAAGCATTTTACAAGGTATTCACAGAAATATTTTGCTCCCATCAGAATTACAAGGAAGCACTAAAAGTGGCAATAAATGTACCTTATTTTTAGCAGCCAAAACTTAGCTTTTCAATAAGGACCTTGCCATGAGGAAAAGATACACACACAAAAATCCACAGAAGGAAATGAGTCTACTTAATGCGGTTTTTCCCAAACATATATACTTAAGATTCAGGAATGGAAAAATAGAGCAGCTTCTTCTCTGGGCATCTGGACCCCACATTTTACCAAGACATTGAGTTGCTATTTCTAACCAAGCAGGAACCTCAGAGTGACATTTAAAATAGGGAGCATCGATATACCCTCTCCCAACTGGACCCTCTTCTTCCCCTATCAAGCATGCCCCCTACAGCAGCCTGAATCTCCTGGCCCATAAACTCATGCCCTCCCTCTTACCCCGCTACAAGTTTCATTGAGTGCATTGCAACACGCATTACTGAATAGGGTCACAGTATCACTCAGGTCTGGACCAACACCCCTCAACCATGACATAAGTCTTTGCAGGATTGGGGAAATTCTTTGCATTTATTGATTTGCATTATTAACTATGAAACAGTGTTTTGAATGAAATAGTAAATATGCAATACCATTATCTATGAAAAAACCCACTGAAAGCCAATCCTAATAAAAACAGGTACAAATATTGAGCAGATGCCCAGTACCTGTTATTTGAGGAACAGTACCTTTCTTGCAAAACTTATTACAGATAAGAAACATTTGGTAAAGGAAGCATCCAAACCCTTCACTAACAGGGCTCGACAAATCACTGAATCTACTCGCTCATGGTGAGTAGATTTTAGCCGGTTGCCCCATTTACCGGTGGCACGTGCATGCGCAATGCGGGTCTTGCGAGTAGGTTTCACCACCGTTTGTCAAGCCCTGTTCATGAAGGTAAAGTTTCATATAATCCAGTGTTTCTCAACCAGTGGCACAAGTACCCTCAGGGGTACCTGAGAGAAGTCTGGTGGGAGGGGAGGTACATCAACAACTGAAATTTGCAGAAAACAGAATTTTTGTTTTAAGTTTTACAGCGCTTTGTTATTTTTGTACTTTTTACACCTAAAAGTTTAATTGCCCACGTGGCTACGATTAATTTCTTTAAACACACGTGTTGCAATGGTAGAAAAAAATGTCTCTCTCTGAAAACTGTAGGCACGGGGGGTACTTATAAAACATTTGAAAAGGGGGGGATTTATTTTAAAAGACTGAGGAACGCGGATATAATCGATGTTTGATGTTGCTGAGAATTTGGGAGACGAGAATACATTTCAGCTGCCACTAAAATTAAGGGGTCGGATTATCGGTACCGTGGCCACCAGTGCGGGCAGCGCGCAGACCGCGCGGCCTGGCTCCGGGCTGCTCGGGCCTC